GATTGACTTCCTGCAACAGTCTACATATGTGCAACACCTTAAAACAAACCCCAACTCGGGCAAGCTAACCAGTGGGAGACATCACTTGGTCGGGGCATATAGGCATGGGGGCGTGGTCGGAATGACGCAGTACTGTCGGGCACGCCCAGGATTCTGCCGTCTACTCGCGGCAATCGCCAAGGCTATATGCCCAGAAGCGGAGTACAGCACCATAGCGTTGAGTGTCAATGCCTCAACTTATCCGCATAAAGATAGCAGCAACGCCGCGGGCAGCCTCTCGTATTGGATTCCGTTGGTTATGCCCAAGCAAGGCGGCCGGTTGTGGGTGCAAGTGCAGAAGGGTGACGCTGTCACAGGAGAGCCTGGCGTAGTTCAACTACCCGCAGGCCCAACAGTGGGGCAGTTCATGCCAGCACATGCTCCCGCGGCGTTTTCTCCACATCAGTTGCATGGCACGGAGCCATGGGATAAGAGCGCAAGCCGCGTGGTGTTGTTGCTGTATACCGTCGGTTGCGTTCAGAAGTTGCCGCGTGAGCACTGTGAGTTGTTGACAAGCTTTGGGTTTGCCTTGCCATCAGTCTGCGGCAAAGGGGGAGACTCCAAGGACCCCAACTTTCAGCCGACTCAGGCCAATAAGCCTAGCGACAAGCTGCTTGATAAAGTACAGGGCGCAGAGTCAGAAGAGGAGGTTGTTGGGGTGTGCTCGTTGTGTGAAACTGAGGGGCCCGCGACAGCGGAAGGCCGTTGCAGCTATTGCGGGGTAACCATGGGAACAACTTCTGGTAAAAATCCTATCGTGGAAATAAATCCTCGTGGTGGCAGAGCTGGTGATTGCGTTGGGTTGTGCGACAAAAATCCCCAAAACCCAAATAAAAATTGCATAACCCAAACTGACAAAAAGAGTGAAGATAAGGGTGACATGGCAGAACCTTGGGGTGTGGCCAGATGTGAACGTTGGGATGTTCAGGATGGGGGGAGAGACCCCATCCAGTTCAGAGCCGACGTAGGGGCTGACACGGCAGTAGAGTGCGTGCATGTTGGTCCTGATGACGTGCGTGAAGCGTGGGAACTTGTGCATGACGGCATGTTGGAGGTTGAGGACGCTGCGCTGGGCCGTTGTCTGGAGGACAGCGACACTGCGGAGCAGACCAGTGATATTGGCGCTGGGGGCATTGACCTCCCATATGAAACTATGAGCTCTCCGCAGGAGCTGGAAATCAATCGTGATGATGGTTGGCTCTTGGGGGAGAGTGAGACTGCAAACATGCAGACTGTTAACGGTGAACCTTCGCCAGACATGGACAACTACCTCGCGTGGTTGGATGAAAGGCAGCTAAGACTGGCTTCGTTCCATGAATCTGAGCTTGCGGCGTGGTTGCATGGTGAAGTTCATGAGGATGTTGACATGCAAAGAAAAGTTGAACAAATCGACCAAGTGTGGTCTGAAGTAGAACACCTGCGTGCCGAGTTGCGGAGCTTGTGCCTTGGTCAGTTGGTGAGCGATGCGAGTGCGTTGCTTGATGAAGGCACGAATCCCGAACAAGAGTCAGAAAAACCGCCATCTGCGGTACTGCAAACCAGAATTGTAGCCAACGCTGAAGTGATGACTCAGTGGGATCTCTGGCAAGACTCGGCGGAGTCGGAAGTGAACAGCTTGATCTCCGAGAAAGGTGCATTGGAGCCAACCACTCGGAAACATCTTGACATCCTGCAAAGCGAAGGGTGGAAAGTAACAATCATACCGGCAAAGGCGATTTTCTCGCTAAAGGCGCCAGACGGCCGCCGGAAATGTAGAATCGTGGCTTGCGGGAATTTCCTTGGCAGCGCTGAGGGCATCTCTCGGTCAGATAAGAAGAACACGCTATACACTGCAAGCATAGATATCGGACATCTCCGAACCGCCTTGGCCTTTGCAACTAGACGGAGATTTGCTATAGGAACTGTAGACATCAAAACAGCTTTCCTTAACGCGGAGTTGTTGCCACGAGACAGGCAAGCTGCCGAGGCGGCGGTGGGGCAGGCAAAAGGGGGTGAAGCCGGTAAAGGAGCGTCAACCAACGCGCCAAAAGAACTTGTGGTGCTAATTCCGCCTCGAGTGATCGTGGCCAGAGGGGTAGTAAAGAACAACGTGCTTTGGGTCATTCGGAAAGCTGTGTATGGTCTGGACCAATCACCGCGGGATTGGGGACTGGAGAGGGACCTGAGCCTCAAGCAGATCCGAATCCCATACGCCGGCAAAGAGTATCGCCTGTGGCCCAGCTTTGTTGATGACAGTCTATGGTTCATTGAGGTTGAGGAGCCTAGACGGGGATTAGCTGCGTCGGAGTTTCGGGGAGATGGAAAGCTCGGGGTGGATGGGTGGCTAGTAGTGTATATCGATGATTTGCTCATCGGGGCCTGTCGGGGACTAGTCGAAGCGGTAATTGAGGCCGTCAAGAGGATCTGGAATTGTTCTGCACCACAGTTCGTATCCGAAGACCCCGCACACCCTACGCGCTTTTTGGGGCTGGATTTGGGGTGGGATAAGGAAGGCAACCTGATGCTCACTCAAACGGCGTACATTAAGGAGCTAGGGAAGAGGTACGAAAAGGAGCTGAAAGGACTGGGAACCCCAGTTACTCCTCTTCCACCTCACTACAAAGACCCCGAAGAAGAGCCCAACCCTGAAGTTGCGGAGGTGAGGGCTGCGCAAGCCTTAGTAGGAGAACTCCTATGGGCCTCCATCAGAACACGACCGGAGATAGCACATAGCGTGTCCAAACTTTCGTCAAAACTGCTGAAAGCCCCGCGGGCCATATACCAACACGGGCTACATGTTCTAGCGTACTTAACCGCCTCCGCTGAATACGGCCTAAAGTATTGGGCCAGCGATCGGGACATGTGGAAGGACTGGAAAAAGGTGCCATGTGCCGATGGCATCATTGAAGCATACGGTGATGCTTCATTTGCGCCGGACGCAGAGCGATCGGTAGAGTGCACCCATGTGTTTGCTGAGGGCTCTCTGGTGGCCTGGACTGTTTCCAAGCAAAGTTTTATGACACAATCATCGTGTGAGTGCGAGCTGCTTTCGCTGATGACTTCTGCGAACTATCTGCAGGCACACGCGTTTGTGCTAGAAGAACTCTTGCAAAAAAGGGCCAGACATCTTATGTTCAGTGATAATATGGCCGCGCTCTCAGTATATGCCGGGACCACATCACAGTGGCGCACACGCCATCTAAAAATCAGGGCTAAAACCTTCAAAGAGAAATATGAAGAGGGCTCGCTAGAGGCATATCATGTAGAAGGTGCACGAAATACAAGCGATATCGGCACCAAGAGCCTTGGGGGGCAGAGACATTGGGAGCTCTGTAGGCTTCTGGGCCTTGCTTGTGGGGGTTCGGGGGTCTGGCCAGCTGAAAAAAGTGTGAAAACCATGAATGCTGCCCGATGTCCTCTTGCCCAGTGCCTCAAAGCGGTCATCCTAGCTTGTTTTTTGTGTCAAAGTGCAGGGCAAGCAAACGGCGAAACTCGCGAAAACGCGCAGGGTGATCGGGTTCTGTGGGTCCTTGTTGGCATGCTTGTGATATGCGCAATTGCTGTGTGGGAGTGTAGCAAAGCGGTGTTCATTCATTGTGTGCGTAGGAAGAGGGATCGAGAGCAGCCAGAGAGTGAGAGGGGAGAGAGCGATGAGGGACAACCAGATGAGGAAGATGAACTGACGGACGAGATCATGCGACCTCCTCGCGTAGTACCTCACGACATCCCATTACCTCTGGGGCCTGCTGCAGCCGTAGGATATTATCTTGACGACCTCAGAGTAGAGTTGGAGCAACAGCCGCATCAAGAACAGCAGAGGGTTGCTATGTTACCTACGTCCGAAAGTGCTGTACGTAGAAGGGTTGGGGCGAGAGTGTACAGAGAGGAACCAGATGTGGAGCCACCTCACAGAGAAGTGCATAATGCCGACGGCCTTCCGCCTGAGCCAGGTCCCGTGAGGCCCATGGTAGCAGTAAGGCAGTTCCGGGATGTACAGAGGGAGGCCCAAGAAAGAAACCAATTTGGGATGCTCAATAGCCCTCCCAATCCCCCGATCGTGATTAATCCTGCCTGGGGACCGGCGCCTGTACAGCCAACGCTTCGAGAAGTTAGGCAGGCAAGAAGTGAGTGGGGCGGAAATGCCAGCGCCGTACATCATGTGCCTCCAGTCACGCTGCGACATGACGAGTACTACTATGATGAAGCTCGCAGTGTGCTTGTAAGGTGGCACACGAAGGAGCGTATACGACTATATGATCCAGCAGGGTCAGTCTTACCAGCTCTGCTGGACATCCGGGCACTGTCTGGCAGAAGGAGAACGCTAATCTGCACCAGAAGACATGAGCAGATGATCATTGACGACAACTTCCGGGATCGACAGAATGCCCGCAGGCACATGGAAGTCTCGTGGCGAGGACGCACCGAGCTAGAGGTGATACCTCAAATCCTCAATATGGTTCGGCAAGCGGCGCCGAGATGAAGAGGAACAAGAGACGGAACGTAGCAAATGATGTGCTGCACATAGTGGTTGAGAATCCGCCGGCAGCTGGAATTCGCTTTTGGGGTGTTGCGAGCTGAACGGGCTCCCAACAGGGGGAGTGCTGCGAGGTACGGACCTTGGTCGAGCTTGTATCCTTGGCGTTGTACTTTTGCCTCATACCGGATGAGCTAGGCTCGAAGGCAGCAAGGTCTCCACCCCATTTTTTAAAAATGCTCATGATGTATAGAAGAAGACAGGGACAGCAGACAACATCATACGAAGTGTACAGTTGTTTTTCTTGTGTGCCTTGGCTGTGATAAAGTGTCCGCTCTGCCCGCAACGCGACCCTAAACCCTAAACCCTATATAAACCCTAAACCCTATATAAACCCTAAAGCCTAAACCCGTATATATATATATATATGCATATGTATATGTATGTATATATATATATATATATGTATATATAGAGATACCCTAAATCCTAAGCCGCCTGTCTCCAGGACGCTTTACGGAGGATCAGATCATGCACATCCACCTGCAGCTTATTCTTGCGCTGTCGCATATACACGACTGTAAGATCCTCCACCGCGATCTGACCCTGGGCCGGAGCAAGTTTGGGGGGTTTGGGGTTTAGGGTTTAGGGCTTAGGGCTTAGGGCTTAGGGCTTAGGATTCAGGAACCCAACTACAGAATGCTCCCGAATTCTCTGAATTCTACTGCTGGCAGGTAAGTTGACGGAGGAGACCTTGATCATGGGTATTGGGACTCTAAACCTAAAACCTAAACATAACACCCTGAACCCTACGCCATGAATCCGATTTTTGTCCTACACAAACCCATTTCACCACGGAAAGGAGAATAGATTGGGGTACTGTACCCTAATGTGGGAGTGTCTCGTGGTCTCTGGTTCCTGAGATGCAAGAATCCTCCACCCACCCCTCCACACCGCACACCCTAAACTTAACCCAAGCCCCAAAGCCCAAGCCTAACCCCATGCCATAAACCCTAAACCCCCATCCCTAAACCCCAAGCCCCAAACCCCCCTAAACCCAACCCAAACATGAATCCTAAACCATACACCCCAAACCCAAACCCTTAAGCCCTATACCTTGAACCTTGAACCCTGAACCCTAAACCCTAAACCCTGAAACACCTCCCTGAGTCCCCCAACAAGGAAGCCCCTGAACATCTTCCTGACGCGGCGCTGGATCGTGAAGCTGGGAGACTTCGGAATCTCCAAGGCGCGTTTAGGGGTTTGTCGTTTTTTTTTTTTTGGTTTTTGGGTTTTTTTTGGGGGTGTTTAGGGGTTTTTAGGGGTTTGGAGTTTTAGGGGGGTTAGGGGGTTTAGGGGTTTAGGGGTTTAGGGGTTTAGGGGTTTAGGGGTTTAGGGGTTTAGGGGGTTTGGGGGGTTTAGGGGTTTAGGGGTTTAGGGGTTTAGGGGTTTAGGGGGGTTTAGGGGGTTTAGGGGTTTAGGGGTTTAGGGGTTTAGGGGTTTGGAGTTTTAGGGGGGTTAGGGGGTTTAGGGGTTTAGGGGTTTAGGGGTTAAGGGGTTTAGGGGTTTAGGGGTTTAGGGGTTTAGGGGTTTAGGGGTTTAGGGGTTTAGGGGTTTAGGGGTTAGGGGGTTAGGGGGTTTAGGGGTTTAGGGTTTAGGGGTTGGGTTAGGGTTTCAGGGGTTTCGGGCTTTAGGGGTTTAGGGGTTTCGCGCTTGGCATTTTTGGGGCTTTCGGGTTTGTGAGTTAGGGTTCTGGGGGCTGAGCTTTTTTTGGATTGATGCAGGTCGGGAATGGTGTTTACTCGTTTTTGTTTTGGTTTTCAGTGCTTGGGTTTGTAACCCTAAACCCAAACCCAAAACCCCAAGCCCTTGCAGGTGCTGGAGAGTACAACTGCTGGCGCGCAGACGACCATCGGCACGCCTTTGTACTTGGCTCCGGAGATCTGCAATGGCGACAGCTATGGCACTTTGGGGGCATTTGGGGTGTCTATGGGTTTAGCGTCGAGCAGTTTGGGATTTACGGGTTTAGGGGTTTAGGGTTTGGGACCTATTGGCTTAGGGCCATGTGCCACCAATTTTCCAGAACTCTGACAATTTGAATTCGTTGTGCTCCTCTTTATCAGAGGCTCAAAAATGTGCATTTACGAGGGGTCTTGGCGTTTGGGGATTCACGGTTTGGGTTTCAGGGCGTGGGTTTGTCATTCGAGGTTTGGGATGTCGGGTATAGATGTCAGAGCGTCGTGCTCTGCTCGAAAGCCTGAGAAGCAGGACAAAGCGACACTACACACCCTAACAACCCCTAGCCCCACAAGTCCTATACAAACCCTCCAAACTCTACAGGGGAAGGTTTCAACATATTCGGAGCTGTTACTTTTACCTACTATTTCCCTTACTCCCCTACATCACCCTTATAAGGCCATGCAAATTTGATGTTTATAAGGCCCCCAAACCTACCCGGTATATTCTAGGCCACCGGCCAACGAAGCAACTCCTCATCCCAAACCCTAAACCTAAACTCCAGACCTCAAACTCCAAACTCTAAAGCTGCTGAACCCTAAACCCTAAACCCTAAACCCTAAACCCTAAACCCCAAACCCCAAACCCCAAACCCCAAACCCCAAATTGCAAACCCTCAACCCCCGACTCCAAACTCCCCGCACCAAACTCCCAACACCAAACTCCAGAAGCTCAAGCTCTAAAGACGCCACGCAGCTCCAAAGCACTAGAAACCCTGGAAATCCCAGAAACCCTATAAAGCCTCTAAACCCCACAAACCCATCGTCCCTACATGCCGCCCTATCAACCCGAAACCCTATTCCCCAAAGTCGGAACCCGATAAACCCTAAACCCGAAACCCCAAACCCTAACCCCAAACCCTAACCCCAAACCCTAAACCCCAAACAAACCCTAAACCAAAAACCCTAAACCCTAAACCCTAAACCCTAAACCCTAAACCCTAAACCCTAAACCCTAAACCCTAAACCCTAAACCCTAAACCCTAAACCCTAAACCCTAAACCCTAAACCCTACACCCAAACCCTCATGGAGCTCCGTTGAGGCATCAAAAGCGACCTTTGGGCTTTGGGCGTCGTCACCTATGAGCTAGCAGCCTTGCACGTGCCCTTCCAGGCAGAGGGCCTTTAGTAGGGTCTAGGGGCTTTAGGGTTTAGGGTTTGGGGTTTAGGGTTTAGGGTTTGGGGTTTAGGGTTCAGGGTTTAGTGCCTTTAGGGCCTTTAGGGGTTTGGGGTTTTGGGTTTAGGGTTTAGTGCGAAACGTTCCTCTGACCTCCGAGCCCCTCCGTGACAACAGGAACAAGAAAGGCCCCCCACCTTGGGGGGTTCCCGGCTGTTGGAGATTCTCTTCAGGTTTTAGGGTTTAGGGTTTAGGGTTTAGGGTTTAGGGTTTAGGGTTAGTTTAGGGTTTAGGGTTTAGGGTTTAGGGTTTGGGTTTAGGGTTTAGGGTTTAGGGTTTAGGGTTTAGGGGGTTTAGGGTTTAGGGTTTAGGGTTTAGGGTTTAGGGTTTAGGGTTTAGGGTTTAGGGTTTAGGGTTTAGGGTTTAGGGTTTAGGGTTTAGGGTTTAGGGCCTGTAGGGTGGAGGGCCTTTAGGGTTCACACTTTCTGTGCAGCCAGGTGAACTTGAGATGTGAGATTTCGGCCTCCAGCTGTTAGGATGCAGAGCGCCCTTCTGCCAGGCAACCTCCATGGTGGCTCTCATCATGAAGGCCAGGCTTCGATGCAGCAGTTTGGGGTTTGGGGTTTGGGGTTTAGGGTTTTGGGGGTTTTGGGGTTTTGGGGTTTTGGGGTTTTTGGGGGTTTGGGGTTTTGGGGGTTTTGGGGTTTTGGGGTTTTGGGTTTAGGGCAGCAACTTTGAATTCGAAACCCTCAACAGCCAAACCTGCAGAGCCCCTGGTTTCTGTTGCCGGATGTCGCCTTTCAGCCTAAAGCCTAGAAAGTCTCGAAACCCCTGAACCCTACGCCCTAAGCCCTAACCCGAAACCCTAAACCCTAAACCCTAAGCCCTAAGCCCTAAACCCTAAGTCCTAACCCTACAAACCTTACCCTGGGAAACCCGAACCCCTGAAACGCAGGTCTGCTCTGCTGAGCCAGAGCCGATCCCCATGCTGTACTCGCAGCAGTTGGTGGACATCGTGTCGGGACTTCTTCAGTCGCCAGGCCTCAAGCTTGCCGGGTTTCGGGTTAGGGTTCAGGGTTTAGGGTTTAGGCTAACCCCCCCCAACACCCTAAGCCAAGGAAGGAGCCGCGCAAGCGTCTGGCGCTGGACGATGTCCTGCGTCTGGACTATGCCCGGCCCTGCGGCCGCGACAGTGTTGACCATAAGGGAAGGGTTAAGAATTTTCGGGACTATGGATTAACGGGGCTTTGGGGTTATGGGGTTTGTGGGACTTATAGGGTCAATAGGGTGTAGTGTTTACTGTTTTTTTGTTTCCATTTTTTCGGTCTCAGGTTGCGAATGTAAGGATCTGAGGGGAAGAGGTTTCGGGCTGGTTTTTGGGAGGTGTTCGCAATTCAATGGGTTGCAGCTTCGGTGCTTCACCAGGAATGGGATTGGAGCGTGCGCAAAGGGCGACCTCAAACGATCCCGAGTGATTCTCAAATGTTTGCTTTCCTACCAACCCTAGTTCCCTCTTCTCCTCCTAAACCCGACGCCCTTTCGGCTGTTCGCAACTTTGGGACTTGGGCTTTGGGACCTAACTTTCCTAAGCCCTAAACCCCTACCCAAACCCTCTCTGCTAAACCTTAAACCCTAGACTCAGCCTAAACCCTAAAACCCTAAACCCTAAACTCCCCCCTTAACCCTAAGGCACCACATGAACCCTAAACCCTAAACCCCTAAACCCTAAACCCTAAAACCCTAAACGCCTAAACCCCTAAACCCCTAAACCCCTGAACCCCTAAACCCCTAAACCCCTAAACCCTAAACCCCTAAGGCACCACATGCACAGCCTCCTCGAGCGCAGCCGGGACATGGCCCGGGAGGTGCAGGCGCGCGCGCGCCTAGGGTTTAGGGTTTAGGGTTTAGGGTTTAGGGTTTAGGGTTTAGGGTTTAGGGTTTAGGGTTTAGGGTTTAGGGTTTAGGGTTTAGGGTTTAGGGGGTAGGGTGGATCCCAGCCCCTTAGTAAGAACACGAGAGCTGTTTTTACAGGGGTGGACTTTCAAAAAAGGGGTGATAGGGTTGGGGTTTGGGGTTTAGGGTTTAGGGTTTAGGGTTTAGGGTTTAGGGTTTAGGGTTTAGGGTTTAGGGTTTAGGGTTTAGGGTTTAGGGTTTAGTTTTGAGAAAGAGGTTGAGGTTTTACAAGGGTTGAGCAAAAAGGTTTTAGGGTTTGGGAGTTTTAGGGTGAAGGGTTAAGAGGGTTTGAAGTTTGGGGTTTAGGGTTTAGAGTTTAGGGTTTAGAGTTTAGGGTTTAGGGTTTAGGGTTTAGGGTTTAGGGTTTAGGGGCTTCGGGGTTGAAGATGCAGGGGACTGCCCTGGAGCCGAAACATCGACGGAGGCAGGACTCTGCAAACCTGTGGGACTTGCTGACGATGAGGCAACAGGAGGACTCACGCAAGCTGCGCTGATCCTAGGATCCATAGGACCGCTCAGCAAGCTCTGGGAGGACCTCCCTCGCGCCATCAAGGCACCGCCTGCCAGTCATCGCCACATATGCCGCCTCCAGCCTAGAGGCCTACCTTGGCTCGTGCGCCCAGTTCATGCTGTTCCTGGAAGCCCACCCACGAGATTAGCCTTTCTGATCTCTCTGTGGCCCAATTAGCCGACTTCCTGGATGCTACAGTCGAGTCCAAAGCCCAAGACAGAGACGTGTGCCGCATCTCGCCCAAATCCATGCTGCGCGCCCTGTCCTGACTAGCCAGGACTGCCCAGATGCAAACCCTGTTGACCTTGGTGTCCAATGCCGTCATCCAAGCATTTGGGTGGAATCTACAGCCCAAAGACCGCAAAGAAGCCTTGCCCCTGCCCATGGCCTGCGTGGTCGCCTGGGTTTCAAAGGGGTTTCGGGTGTAAGGCTTTTTGGGGTTTAGGGTTCGCAAGAACTTAGGGTTTAGGGTGTAAAAGGGTTTAGGTAAACCTACACACGTTCAACGCTGGAACCCCCGAGGCCCTCTAAACCCCACACCCCCCAAGTCCTATAACTTAAAGCCATGAACCCTCAACACCCAAGTCCTATACAACCCAAAACACTTTGAGAGACCCGAAACCCCTTCAAACCTCCAAGTCCTGTAAACCCTAAAGAGCCAAGACCTATATACACCTTACCCTGTACGTCCCAAACCCGAAACCCCTTTTAAGCCCTGTAAACCCTGCAGCTCTAGACCCCTTACCCTGAACGCCTAAACCCCTTAACCCTGAACCCTTGAAAACCCCGAAACCCTAAACCCCTTAACCCTGAGCCAGCAAACCAAAAAAAGCAAGCCCCATAGCTTGGGGTGTTCCCCCTTATACTAACAGTCCTTAATAGTAATCTCTTTTAAGGACTGTCAGCATATATTATAAGGGTGAACATCCCAACCTATAGGCCCTAGAAAACCCTAAACCGCAAACCCTGAACCCACACTCTGACCCCTAAACCCTAACCCCTAAACCCGCCCGCCCCCACTCCTGAGAGGGTCGCCTAGCTAGAGTCGCCTAGCTTGTCTCAGATATATATTAGTACCCTAAACCCCAGGAGGGGGATCCTTTTTCAATTCCTGGCAACCTCGAACCCTGGCCCTGACCCTGGCCCTGGCACTGGCCCTGGCCCTGGGCCCTGACCGGTTTCCTCCTGGCTTGGACCCTGGCCCTGCCCCCCTGGCCCTACCTTGCTTGCCCCTAGCCTGGCCCTGGCCCTGGCCCTGGCCCTGGCCCTGGCCCTGGCCCTGGCCCTGGCCCTGGCCCTGGCCCTGGCCCTGGCCCTGGCCCTGTTCCCTGGCGCTGGCCCTGGCCCTGACCCTGGCCTGGCCCTGGCCCTGGCCCTGGCCACGGGCTCCCCTGCTGGCCGCAGGAAAGCCCTCTTGCTGGCCCTCCTGCTGGCCCTCCTGCTGGCCCTGCTGGCGGGCCCTGCTGGCGGCCCTGCTGGCCCTGCCCGCGGCCTGCTGGCCCTGTTGGCGGTCTGCTGGCCCTGCTGGCGGCCCTGCTAGCCCTGCTGGCGGCCCTGCTGGCCCTGCTGGTGGCCCTGCTGCCCTGCTGGCCCTGCTCCCTGCTGGCTCTGCTGGCCCTGCTGGCCGTGCTGGCCCTGCTGACCCCTGCTGGCCCTGAGGAAGCCCTCTGAAAGGTCCGACCCCTCGCTTTGACCGCTCTAGTGAGTTTCGTTCTCTGGCCAAGTGAACTTCGGCGTGGGGGGGGATTCTTGCAAAACCTGCAGACTCTTCACGCCCTGAATTTTCTGTGAGAGGGCCCTTCGGCCCAGACCGTCCCCTGCGCAAAACCTGAGGGGGGGGATCTTTTGCCTTGTGCCCCCGAGTGACCTCCGAAGTCAAGGGACACCCTTGGCACCCCCTCAAAGTAGCAAATGTCCCAGGCAGTGCTCGACATGCTGCCTTCTGGCCCCAGATGATCTCCGACTTCCTAGTGTCCCAATCAGCCACTGTTCCCAAGTGACCCCCCCAAGAAATCGCCAACAGCTCGCCTCAAGTTCGGCAAGTGTTCACGACTCGCACATATCCCAAGCTTTCGCAGTGTTTTATCTTAGTGTGCTCTGAACATGTTCGATATGTGAGATTTGAATGGCTGGCTTGGCTTTGGCTGGCTCCGGTTTGGTTTCGTGATGAGTATTGTTTGGGTGGCCTCGGGGTGGGCATGTCTTCACACTTTTGCGTTCAGCTGACCAATGCTACACCCTAAACCCTAAACCCTAAACCCTAAACCCTAAGCCCTAAACCCTAAACCCTAAACCCTAAACCCTAAGCCCTAAGCCCTAAGCCCTAAGCCCTAAGCCCTAAGGCCTATAAGCCCTAAACCCCAAACCCTGCATGTGGCCCTGTGCCCCGGACAGGCCCCTCTCCGGACCCGCAAGCCTGCGCCCCACCCCTTGGCGCCGGCGAGCCCCGGGGGCCAGGCGAGCTCAGAGCATAAGAAGGGGGCCTTCGAGGGGGTTTAGGGTTGAGGGGGTTTAGGGTTTAGGGTTTAGGGTTTAGGGTTTAGGGTTTAGTGGGCTCAGGGGGGTTGAGGAGTTTAGGGGATTTGGGGTTTGGGTTGCTGGGTTTAGGCGCGGGCCACAGACTGTCAGAGTGTTCACTTGTCTCCGAAAACCCGACAACCTTTCTGAGGAGCTTCGGGGCCTGAAGCCCCCTTCCCCAAACCGACCTTCGGGGGGGGGGTCGGGATTTAGGGCCTACATAGCACTTCCCTGAAGTCAAAATCCGAAGACCGCGTAGATCAGCTTTAGGGTTTAGGGTTTAGGGTTTAGGGCTTATCAACCGTTCCTTCCAAAGCCCAAGCCCCGGCACAGGACACGTCGCAAGCTGCCGGAAGCTGAGGGGGTGGTGGGCACCGGAACGTCCCCCCAAGTTTGCTCATGAACATCTTGTTTCCCACACTCCCAGAACGGACCTAAGACATACATACATACATACATATTATACATATATATATATATATATTCATGGATCTATCTATCTATAGACGTATATACACATATTACTTAGGCATAAGAGCCACACATGCTCCAAAAAGATCAAGGTCTAAGTTTAAGCTACCCTGAACCCTAAGCCCTGAACACTAAACTTCAAACCCGGAATTTGTAAGCTTAAGTTTAAGCTGTCTTGCCCTGATGCTCCATGAAGCCTCGACACAGTCAGGTCCGCGCCGAGTACTTCCTGAACAAGGAGGCGGGGGCCAAGTTGGGACCTTTCCTGAGGAAGCAGGGCTTAGGGTTTAGGGTTTAGGGTTTAGGGTTTAGGGTTTAGGGTTTAGGGTTTAGGGTTTAGGGTTTAGGGTTTGGGGCTGCAGTCTTGGTAGCCGATTGGAACCCTTCCTCCTGTTGTTTGGTTCAAGGCTTCCCTTATAAAGTAACCAACCCAAAAAAGCCTGATTAAGGCATGGGTGCTGGGCTACCTAGACCCAAAATTCAAAACAGGTTCAAAACCCTTAAAACCCCCAAACCCGAAGGCCCGAACAAGTTCTGATGATGTATGGGCACGAGTACCTTTTGCTGTTCCCGATTCTATGGAGCGAAGACTCGGTGATGGGAGAAGGTGCAGCGCTCTGTGACGGACATGAGCAAGGGCGAGGGCATAGTGCTCTTGACTGGACGGCCATCTGTTCTCTTAAGGTTTCAAGGGGTCCAGCATACGATCTGTTAGTGCATCTGCACCGCCGCTACAAGCCCAAAACCTGTTCACCGAAAAGCCCCAAAACCCCCTGTGGTGCCTCTAATTCCTACCTTCCCTAAGCCCTACACCCTAAACCCTAAACCCTAAGCCCTAAGCCCTAAGCCCTAAGCCCTAAGCCCTAAGCCCTAAGCCCTAAGCCCTAAGCCCTAAACCCTCATCTTAGATGAATGTCTGCAGATCGCGCGGCGAAACAAGGAGCGCTGTCGAGGCCTGTGGCAGAGCTCCCCCAGAAGGGGGTTTTAGGGTTTTGGGGGTTTTGGGTTTTTAGGGTTTAGGGAACTCACTCAGAAGGGGCTTTGGGGGTTTTTGGGGGTTTTGGGGTTTAGGGGGTTTCGGGTTACAGGGTTTGAGGGCTTTAGGCTTTTTGGGTTTTTGGGTTTTAGGGGTTCATTGTGGAAAAGTTCCGTCCATCATATGTTGGGATCCCGATCTTGATATCTGCTCGCAGAGGATTCTCTAGTTCAGGGTTTTTGTTGGGGGTCTCTGGGCACGTTTCCAGAGTGGACATGACTGTTTTGAAGTATGGCTTCGAGGGTTCGGCATGTGGGGGGAAGGACTTTAGGGTTTAGAGCTTGCGTTTTGGGGCTTAGTGTGTTTTCCGTTGGTCTTACATTGAAGCCCTAAACCCTAAACCTGTTTGCTCGAGGTAAGGGCTGCAATGGAATCGCCTTCAAAACTCGGGCCATTTCTGAAGCCTCGCACGGAAGCTGGGAATTCTATTTTGGGGTCTCCTTGTAATCCGGGACCCTCAACCCTCAACCCTCAACCCTCAACCCTCAACCCTTAACCCTAAACCCTAAACCCTAAACCCTAAACCCTACTTCCCCTGAAGCCCCCTTCACGCACGGAACGAGACGTGGGAGGTCCTGCCAGTACCAGCGTCTCTCCCGAGAGGTCGTCGGAACCGAGGCTCTCCACCTTGCAGTGTAGGGTTTAGGGTTTAGGGTTTAGGGTTTAGGGTTTAGGGTTTAGGGTTTAGGGTTCAGGGTTCAGGGTTCAGGGTTTAGGGTTTAGGGTTTAGGGTCTAGGGTTTAGGATGGTTTAGGGTTTAGGGTGAGTTAAACTTGAAAAGGTTTTGTAGGTTGAAGGGATTAGCGCCAGAGTTTAGGGTGGGAATTACTATGGAACCGCTTTAGGTTTCAAGTGATTCAAGGGTGTTCAAGGGGGCTGACAGGTTTAAAGGACCATCCGGCGCCGCAATCTCAAGTGCCGTAAACCCTGAGCTAACCCTCTGCTAAGGTCCCCGTACTTGCAGGTTCGTGGTACTCATTAGCCAATTATAACTGTACTTATAACTGTACTTATCACCATACTAGGGCACTTAAGGGGCTTATCAATGGGTTATAAGTACAGTTACTACTGTTTAATAAGTACCATGAACCTCCTGCCCTAAACCCTAGACCCGAAACCCTAAACCCCAAACCCTAAACAAAACGCCAGGCCAGACCCTCCGCCGCTGCACGTGCCGCGCGCCGCCCCGCGCGCGGCCAGCGCCCCTCGGGTGCCCCACCGGGAGAGCCCAGAGCCGGAGGACAAGCGGGCAGAGGCACCTGGAAGGGTTTGGACTGCAGGTGTAGGGTTTAGGGTTCGGGTTTAGGGTTTAGGGTTTAGGGTTTAGGGTTTAGGGTTTAGGGTTTAGGGTTTAGGGTTTAGGGTTTAGGGTTTAGGGTTTAGGGTTTAGGGTTTAGGGTTTAGGGTTTAGGGTTTAGGGTTTGGGGGTTTAGGGTTTAGGGTTTGGGGGTTTAGGGGGGGGGGGGGTTTAGAGTGTAGGTTTTGGGTTAGGGCCATGTAGGGTTTACGAAGCTTCGAGTTTGTAAGGGTTGCGGGGCCTATCTGCAGCTTTTGGGTTTTCGGGAATTAGATCTGGGGCAGATCTCAGGCTTTGGTGCTCACATGCGGCGCTGGCATGTGCCCTGGAAGCTAGACACTCAACCACTCTTGCCGGCCATTGTCAGCTGTACCGGAGTGGCGTTGCAACCGAAACCCTAGAACCTGAGCCTTTGAAAACCCATAAGGTGCAGCACCTCTAAATCCCCTAAAACCCTAAACCCTCAAACCCCTAAAACCTACAACCCTCGAATCCCCTAAATCCAAAACCCTAAACCCCAACCCCATCAGGTTCAGAAACCCCTACTAGGCCATTGAGACATGTGATATTTTCCCTTATTGGGTTTAAGAGGATCGAGTTCAGGAGTTGTTTTTCAGAGGGTTTTAAGGACCCCAAACCCTAAACCCTAACCCTAAACCCTAAACTAAACCCTAAAGCCCTAAACCAGAAGCCCCAAACTCATGAGACTGGGAGGTGCGACGTCGCTCACAAGAGGCGCGCGCAGCCGAAGAGGCCTTCCGCTACCGCGATTTTTGACTTGAACCTATAAAGTTCCCAAATACACCTATACTATTTCGGGGTCCCCTAAACCCTAAAACCCCCTAAAACCCTAAACCCCAAACCCGAAACCCTCAACCAAAAAACCAAAGTCTAAACCCTAAACACCAGCTCTAAACCCAATTGCGTTCAACCCGAAAGCCTTTCGAAATTAAACCCTAAACCCGATAGACATCCTGAGAAGCAAACCGCTGATAAACCCTAAGCTCCTCAGCCCTTTAAAGTAACTCCGTTGCCCCAAATGTCCTGGCCTAGTCAAGAGGGTTATCACTGCCGGGCGAGCGAAACAGAATCCCTCCGGTGACAAAAGCCTAGTGCGACTTAGCGTGCTGCCAATCGCAACCCCTCAACACCAGACCCTAGACCCCAACCCTAAACCCTAAACCCTGAACCCTGAACCCTAAGCCCTAAACCCTAAACCCTAAACCCTAAACCCTAACCCTAAACCCTAAACCCTAAACCCTAAACCCTAAACCCTAAACCCTAAACCCTAAACCCTAAACCTAAACCCTAAACCCTAAACCCTATACCCTAAACCCTAAACCCTAAACCCTAAACCCTAAACCCTAAACCCTAAACCCTAAACCCTAACCCTAAACCCTGAAAGCACTCAAGTCGCTTGCAGGCCGCCTGGAAGAAGAAGCTCGAGGAAGCGCGGCGTCAGGTCGTCCAGGCTTGGGCCCAACTCGCTGGGGCTTTTGGGGTTTTAGGGTTTAGGGTTTAGGGTTTATAAGGCTTTTTGGGGTCTAGGGTTTCAGGGCTTTGGGGCTCAGCGTTTTAGGATTTTACGGGTTTTGGGGGTGTTTTTCCCTCCAGCCTTGCCCTAAGCTCCTGAGTTTGGGGCACTAATTTCAGCAAACGGTTGCCCTAAGGTCCTACAAGCCAGCATCTTGAACCACCTATAAAGCCTAACACCTTAAGCCGAGATGTAAAAGTAAACCATATACAAACCTTGTAACCTTAGGCTACAATCAAAGGCTTATGCCAGCAATCCCTATGATCCGTAGAAGACCCAAACCTTCCCGACCCCTCCAAGCCCTCAACAACCTTGACATGCTACAAGGACAAGCTGGCCGCCAAGCAGCGGATGGAGCAGGACTTATAGAGACTTTACAGGTAAGTACGCCCAAAACCCTGACAACCCGAAGCCCCTTAAAGATTCCTAAGTCTCTAAGACCTGAAGCCCTAAGCTCTAAACCACCCCAAGCCCTGAAGCTCTCCACCCTAGATGCCCTAAACCCTAAACCCTAAACCCTAAACCCCCCTTCTGATCTCTGCCTCTTTTCCAGGACTATCGCTCGCGCTTCGGAGGTGCAGAGCCATCTGAGCGAAGCCCTAGCCTCAATCCTGAACTGCCTCTCAGTAGCGTTCAGGGTTTAGGGTTTAGGGTTTAGGGTTTAGGGTTTAGGGTTTAGGGTTTAGGGTTTAGGGTTTAGGAAGTCAGGAAGCAGGGCGTAGGGAAAGGAAATTGTCAGATACCCTGAAAGGGCAAGAGGGAGGGTCTAGGGATGTGGAGAATTAGGGATGTAGGGGTTTATTTAGGGGTTTTTGGTTCATGGGAAAGTGCGGATCGCCATATTATCTGTTCAAAGGGCAAGAGGAGTTGGGGTTTGAAGGTTGCAGGTAGTTCAGGCTTGTTTTTGGAGGGGGGGGGGGGGCGGGGGGGGGAGGGGGAGGTTTCATGAGTTAAGGGATCAGGGTTTGCACCAAAAACAGTCTTAATTAGGGGTCAAATACTTGCCAGAGCAGCTTGGTGGCGACTGTGGGTCGATGTTGAGGCGTCAGCAGCGACGCCTCTCCGAACGCAACGCGGCCCTCAGCCACTCGGAGGCGAAGAAAAGTGATTGCTGTATAGTGGCCTCTCCCGAGACCCCCTGAACCCTCCAAACGCCTAAGCCCCGTAAGCTTCCAGACCTTTCAGCACTCTATGCCCTTGAACACTTCAACCATAAGAACCCTCCAGCACTAAACCCTTTACCCCAGCCCTGAACCCTTCAGCACTGAACCCTTTACCCCAGCCCTGAACCCAATGAGCCCCCAGCCCTAAACGTATCTTGACTTTTCAATCCGTTTGAACCGGAGAGGGTGCGTCCTTTAGCAAGCTCAGGACCGGCGATCCGAGTCGGAGAAAAGCCGGAGCCCCAATAGGGGGGGGTTTATAGGGGTTTTGGGCTTAGGGGGTTGCACGTGTTCAGGCAAGGGTATGTGAGTCGGGCCTAGGGGTTTTAAGGGTTTAGGGTTTCCGAAGCACCCTTGCAGAAGCCTTTGGAACGTGCCAACTGCGTGGACTCGTAGGTGGGAGCAGCGACCTTTCTCCGGGCGCCCCGCAGACGTCGGGCGCTTAGCGTTGAGATTCGGACTCAGGTGGAGTAGAAGGTATTGAAAGCCACGCAAACAAGGGTTAGCCTGGTTCAAGCAGCAGCAGAAAGCAAACGCACAAACCAAAGAGCGCGTGCACTTTGATGGACAAAGGATCCGCTCTGTGACCCCGAATCCTAATTTCTTAAATGTCCAGTTCATAGAACCAAAAAAGACCCCAGCCCCAAAACCCTAAAGCCCTAAAGCCCTCGAACCCTAAAGCTCTGAACCCCTGAAACCCTAGGACGCTCAACCCCAAAACTCCAAAAAAACCAAACACCAAAGCCCTCGAACACTTCAACCCTAAACCCTAGAAGCCCCCAACCCCTAAACCCCTGAACCCTAAACCCTAAACCCCAAACCCCAGAACAAAGAGCCAGGCCAGAGGCGGCCTTCTTGCCGGAGCCGGAGCCAGAACGGGACGACGCCACGGAGACGCTGCAAAGTTTTGGGGTTCCCTACACCTCTAATGCCTAGTAGTGCCCTGAAACCTCTGCATTCAGTGCTTTAGGTCTGTTATGCTTTTAGGGTTTAGCGTTTCTGGTTTAGCTAGATTCCCTTTCATGTGAAGCCGTTGGGGTCTGGCTTTTAAGGTCAAGGCTTGCTTGGTCTTCAGGGCTTCGGCTTCTGCCTATGTGGATGTTGCTCTTTCCGAAGGGGTTTAGGGTTTAGGGTTTAGGGTTTAGGGTTTAGGGTTTAGGGTTTAGGGTTTAGGATTTTGGGCATGGTGGCTGCGGTCGGAGTATAGAGCTTCGAAAAAGGGCTGGGCACCTACCCGTGTCGCAGTTGTTGGTCGAAAGCCCTTCCAGAACCCACACACTAGGCCCCAAACCCGCATGAAACCCTAAACCTAAGCTCAAACAGCTCGACTGTGAATACGAGCTGAGCTCAACTCCCCGAGCCACGAAGCCTATAAGCTTGTCAGCCAACCTTCGCAGGAGCTGCGCACCATGTTGGAGGCTGCCTTGCAGGCTCTCCTTCTGTGGGTCAGGGTTTAGGTTTAGGCAGTTTAGGCTGCAACGAGTTGGGGTTGAGGTTCTTGGGGCCTGTAGGTGTGTTTTTCGTCCCTGCTTGGGGGTTTTCGTGAGCCAGAAACCCGCAAACGAGCCTTGCCAGGAAGCCAGGGGTATCTGGCCTGAGTGTGGCAGAATCTGTTGGCTCAAGGGTGGACCAGCATGGACTCTAAACCCCAAAACTCGATAACCCTAAACCTCACCCTAGAACCCTAAACCCCCCCACCCTATGAGCCTATACCCCAAAAAGCCCAGAAGCGCCCTATGAGCCCTAGAAACCTTAAGCTCGCAAACTGGAAAGCCTCGCCCCCCCGCGCATAGCGGCGCATGCACCTTTTCACCCCAAACCCTAAACCCTGACCCGCCCAGTAGTGCCCCCAACAAAGGGTGCTTTTTTTTCTGAAGCTACTGGGGTTTAGGGTTTAGGGTTTAGGTTTTAGGTTTCAGGGGCCTAACCCTTGAAGTCATGCCATCGCCATGGCCTGGTCACGGGCGCGATGATGGCGATCCGCCGTGAAGCTTGGGGCCTCGGAAGGTCGGACTTGTTCGGGCGTTTCTGTGGATTTTTTGGATGGGCTCCCCTGAGAGTTTAGAGGCTTGGCGCCGGCGTGTAGGTTTTTGGGGGCCATGTGGTTTAGGCTTTGGAGATTTCGGGTTTTAGTTCCCCCACCCAATTCGAAATACTTCAGAAGATCTTAATAAGCCCTCAGCCTACACCCGCAACAGCTCCCCAAATCCGAGCCAGCATCCCCAGAACAGCCCCAGAAAGCCGAGAACATCCCTGCTGAGGGCGCCTGGCGTTCCTTACCTTGCACCTCGGCGGCCGGAAGAAGGCCGGGGCCACGGCTCTGCTCTCGGAATGTCTCTTCAGAGTGCGCTGTGGGGTCTAGGGTTTGGGCGGTTGGGGGGTTTGGGTTTAGGGGTTTAGGGGTTTAGGGGTTTAGGGGTTTAGGGGTTTAGGGGTTTAGGGGTTTAGGGGTTTAGGTTTCGGGTTTCAACTTCATGTTGAATCATGGCTGTCCTGAGGGCGAGGCTCAAGGTGCTGCCCAGCATATAGGGGGCCACTGACTGGCCCAGAGGTCGTAGCTTATGGAGTCCGAGGAGCCCCGCATGGTTGGTGTCGACGTGGTGCTGCAGGATGCCCACGGCACCGAAAAGGAGGCCGACACCGAAAAGTTCGAAAAGTTGGAGGCGGCGCTGGACGAGGGTGCGCAAAAGCAAAACCTCGAGACCGTCCGGCACGTCCTGGAGCAGCGGGCCGATGTGAACGCCAAATGTTGTGACGGAAGAGATATGACGCCACTGCATGTGGCAGCAAGGCATGGCAACGAGGAGATGGCAAAGCTCCTCATCGACTACAAAGCCGACGTGCACGCCAGGGCCAGGGGATTTTTAAGCCTAACGCCCCTGCACTGTCTTCCCTGGGCTGAGAAGTACCCCTATGAAAAGTCAGTAGCAGTGGCCAAGCTCCTTATCGATCACGAAGCCGATGTCCTTGCCAGAAGCGAAGCTATCGCCAGCACACCCCTGCAAGAAGCACAACGTGCCGGCCACGCGCAGGCCACGGCTTTCTTGAAGATGGTCTTTACGTTGAATTTACCGATGGAGGCCCAGGCAGAAAGTCTTGCTTTCTTATTGCTTGCCGAGGGCAGCTCCTACACCGAGCTGGTGGAGGCCATGCTGCGGGAGGTGCCCTGTGAATGGCAGCAGCGAGTCCGAGACCGTGTCTGCACCTTTCTGTACCCAAGGGAGGAGGGGCCCTGCCGACACAAAAAACTTTCTGAAGGATTTGGCAAGATTGGCACTGACCAATACTTCTTCAATGCCCCAGAGGTCGAGACATCACTGATGGTCCTTGACCAGTTCCCTGCCACACTGACACGCGAGGCACAGGTGCTGAGAGCCATAGCCCAAACTGCAAACGACCAGACGCTGGGCACGGACACAGTCGAAGTCATCCTGCAGGCGGCGTGGCTCCAGACATCGCGCAGAACGTGGCGTGTCTGGTCTGTCTTGTATGGGTCACGTGCTTCGGCGACTCGCAGATCCAGCTGCCGCTCTGGTTTCTGGGCATCTCGTTGACGAAGGAAGCCGTGGAATGGCTGTGGCAGGTGGCTTGCCGGCTATGGCAGGTGGCCTGCTGCTCTGGCTCTTCTGGCTCTTTCGGAATGGAGACGCTTGGTGATGCTGCCTTCCTGTTGGTGGGCTTTGCCGCCATCACGAAGCAGATGCAACAACAGGAAGGGCTCGACCAGGTCTTCCTGCCGTGGTTTGCGGTCATGTCGTGGCTGCGATGCCTGTATAGCTTCCGTGGCGAGAAGTGGGTCGGCCTGCACATGCTGCCGATCATTTCCGCAGTGCGAGACACCGGTGCGTTCTTCTTTGTTACTGGCATGTGCCTTGCAGCTGCGACCCATGCTTACTTCATCCTCGGTCCCAGGGGAGAAGACCCGCTGCCGGTCTATTCTGCCTTTCTACACACGGCCCGCCTCGGCCTCTTCGGCGACTTCGATATCTTCGAGTTCCAAGGCCAAGACCCAACGTACCAGCGCAATGGCCTCACGGGGGAATGGGAACCCCAGGACCCGAGTCCTGAAGAGTTGGGCCAGCGACAATACGTCTACGTCCACCTCTCCTTCTTCATGGTCGGCATTGGGATCACGATTTTGCTGATGAACCTCCTCATTGGCATCCTAGGACAAAATTATGAAGTGCATCACGAGCGGGCCCAAGTGCTCTTCGTGCAGGCCCGGGCTCGGATGCTCCTCGAGCACGGCTGCCGCCCTTGGGCCTGGCTCACCTGCGCATATCGGCCACAACAGTACCAGGAATCCACAGAGTCCTTATCCACAGAGGCTCCCCGAGCCCTTCATTGCCTGTTTTTCTCCATTCTGCCTCTGATGCTTGCCTTTGGCATTGACCCCACATTCCCATCGCACGTGTTGAGGCTACTAGGTTCTTCGCGGCACCAGTCTGTGGGACGCTGGCGCAGCAGGTGCTTCCAAGCTGCCGTGCTTCTTTGCTGCCCATTCCTGTTCGGCCTCTCTCTGGCGGGAGCGGTGCTCTTTGCCATTTTCGCCTTTGCCTTACTCCCTTTCGGAGTTCGTGTTCAGGGCTTGCAGCACACCATGCGCACGGCCTTGTTTGGCGACTTTGGGGATGGTATCTGGGCATCTCGATGCCACATTTATTGCCTCGTCCGCAAGCAACCGAATGCCGATAATGTCCGCGGCATGCGAAGTGACCTGAAGGAACGCATGAGCACCATGGAGCAGAGTGTAAAGGAACGCATGAGCACCATGGAGCAGAATATGAAGGACAGCATCAACGAGCTGCACCGCAAGATCGAGAAGCTCATGGTCGAAGCAGGGCGCTCCACCAGCCCAGCAGCCGGTGAATGCCTTGAGTCTCATTGATTTATTGATTTTCCGCTGTGCGGTGGAAGGAGGCCTCATGCCAAAGCGCACGCACGCTCCTCACCCGAACCCTTGAAAGTTTAGTTACTACTCCTTTGACATGCCCAGCATCACTTAAGCCATGATCGGCTGCAACGAGACACTTGGCGAACCGGCCAGGAACTCGAGATCTGCCCTCAGCATAAGTGCCACGGACTGGAGTCAAAAGAAACTCTCTGCGCAGCTCTGTGTGACTCGACTCTTCGCATGGCTTGATCCGACGCGTCTCCGTTGTCAGCACGAGCCAGCATCTGGACCATGCTCAGCTCACTAGCAAGGCACGCACGGCGATGCTTCCCACCTGGCTGGTGCCTTTTTCTCCAACGTTGAGGCCCGTGATGGGGGATCTGCGGGAGCTTCGAGAGGCTTAGGGTTTAGGGCAGTTTAGGGTTTAGGGTCTACAAGGGTTTAGGGTTTGTTTGGGGTTCATAGGTAATTTATGGGCTCGGTGCCCGTAGCAAAATCACCGTCTGTTCAAAACATACTCGTAGTGTGTTGTTTTAGAGATTTTGGGTTCTGCCTCAACGCACTCTGATTCAACAAGATGTTGCCACGAAGCGAATAGCTGTTTGGTGCTGGGTCCTGAGCCTGAGGCCTCTTGCAAAGAATCTTGGGCTCAAGGCCCCGTAATGCAGGTATAGGGTTTAGCGTTTAGGGTTTTGGGTTAATTGATTGATTTAGGGTTTGGAATTGAGGGTTTAGGGCTTAGGGGTAGGGCCTGAAGACTGCAGCTTGAAACAAAAGAACGCGATCTTCGGCCCGTGTCCTAAGCTCCCATACGTCTTTGTCTTAAAAATCCGGAAACATATGCGCTGCGAACAACTTAAGTGCAGGGTCTTCCACAAAAACAGGTGCAACAATAGACCCTACACCCTAAACCTTAAACCCCTAACTTTGGAGACCTCAAAGCGACGCCGCGTCGAGTGCAGAGTTCGGGCTTGGGGACAAGGACTCGGGCTTAGTTTCTTCCAGTTCAGGCTCGGGTTCTAGGGTCTATTAGTCGGGTTTGAGGAATGGCAGTTTGAGTTTAGGGCTTTGTGTCCATTGATAGATACGTCGGGCTTATGGAATATAGGGTTTAGGGTTTGGCGCTTATATATAGGGTTGAGGGCTTAGGGAATGGGATTTAGGGTTTAGGGAACTTAGATATTTGAGTTTTGTATAGGGCTAAAACCCGCAAGTTACAAATGTTGTCGGAACTTCGCGCGTTCATCGAGGACTCCGCGGGATGCGGAAGCTGGCAAATGGCACTTTCAAGTCGCGCCTCTCTCAGAAACACATGGGTTGATCCAGGTGATGGCCCCATTTGGGCATGCTAAGTCTGTAGGGGGCTGTACTACTCTAGGTGCCCCAAAAAAATGTTGGATTGGAGCTTCTAGCTGCTAGGTGGAAGAACGGATGATGGGTGGTGGAGTGGTTCGAAGCGCTTCAAGCATGCAATCCGCAGAGACCGTGCGTATGGGCTTTTTCTAAGCGGCGCTGAGTGAGAAGAGCGAAGATGCTGCGGTCGCATCTCCATGCATCTCTACAGCTGCACTGCCTCCTCAATTTGACTGGACCCTGCAGCTATATGATGTACTGGTAGGGTTTATATTTCTTGTATCCCCAGAAGGACACCCAATATACACACTCACCAATTTTAACACAGAATCTTATATACACTCACCAGTAACAGCAACACAAGCCCTGCTTCATCTAGTGTTCAGGAGTGCCTAGTTTTTTGCAGCATTTGGCTCCGAGAACCCAAGGCCCGCCCAGACATTTGCCGTGCCGAGCTTACCATCGCCATGCCGGCCTTGTCGACTCGCGCCAGGAGCAGCCGCGCGCGCGGCCTCATGGTGCTGGCGCTTGGTGGCGCCCTCGCGCTCCGAGGACGCAGAGTAGGCCCTTACTGTAATTTCTTTTTGTGGGGTGTTTGGCTTCCCTTGTAAAGCCCCTTCAAAACCAAGAAGGGCACCCTTCTCATTCCTAGCCCTAAACCCTAAACCCTAAACCCTAAACCCTAAACCCTAAACCCTAAACCCTAAACCCTAAACCCTAAACCCCAAACCCTAAACCGCAAACCTACTCCTTGGGCCTAGGCTCTGGAGCTTCCAGAGCGGGACAGCCTTCAGCAAAGCACCGGTCGTGGAAGACACGCAGGCTTCCGGCCTCACCAAGGCGGGGGTTTAGGGTTTAGGGTTTAGGGTTTAGGGTTTTAGGGTTTTAGGGTTTTAGGGTTTAGGGTTTAGGGTTTAGGGTTTAGGGTTTAGGGTTTAGGGTTGGGGGCGGGGGGGGGGGGTGTTTCCTGAATATTGGGGTCCTGATACAAGGGGATTCTTTTTCCTTTTGGGGGTTCCTATAAGAAATCCCTTTAGGATAACAGGGGGTGCCTGATTACTGGGTCCTCATACACGGTGTCGAATACTTACTAATAACATTATCATCTGGTCCCTTTGTAACTATACGAAAATAACCCTCAAAGCCCTATTCTAATTATTCAGTCCCCTATATTACCTTACTCTTGGGGGTCCCTATTGTCTAAGGGGTAACCTATACTATTTGACTTGGGGTCCTTGTACAAGGGGATCCCATACTATCTTGCGGTCTATATCAGGGTTTCTTATGTGCCTTACTTTTTGTGGTCCTTAGTCCGTAAGGGGACACCTAGACTATTGCGGGGTCCATCTTAAGGGTCCCTTATGATTGTAAACCCTAAACCCTAAACCCTAAACCCTAAATCCCAAACCCCAAACCCCAAACCCCAAACCCTGAACCCTAAACCCTAAACCCTAAACCCTAAACCCTAAACCCTAAACCCTAAACCCTAAACCCTAAACCCTAAACCCTAAACCCTAAACCCTAAACCTTCAGGTGGTGGCCGAGCACGCCCTGCTCATGTCGGTGTTGCTGATGATCGCCTGCAGCGCGTTTGCCTACACCGAGCAGGCACTGCCAGCAGCGGCCGGCCCGGCTGAGAAGCTGGGTTTAGGGTTTGGGGTTTAGGGTTAGCTTTGGGCTTAGGGTTTGGGGTTTAGGGTTTAGGGCTTAGGGCTTAGGGCTTAGGGCTTAGGGTTTAGGGTTTAGGGTTTAAGGTTTAGGGTTTAGGTTTAGGGTTTAGGGTTTAGCTTCCTGGTTAGTAGGGAATGAGAGAATGAGGTAGCCCATATCCCCCTAGACTAATTACTATACCCTTTAAGGGATTATATAGGGTTCCTCATTCCCCCATTCTACAAACCAACAGTAAGGAAGCGCCACGACTACAACACCTTCCTGATGATCCAGAACATCCTTTGCTTCACGTCCGGCTACGTGAACGCATTGGCCATTATCGACATGGGCATGACGGTCTCGCACCAGAGTGGCAACACCAGCCACACCGGACGCCCCTAGCCCAGTGTTTGCCAGCATGTTGCTGCAGAAGGGCAGGCATGGAAGATGTGGCACAGAGCATGACAGATTGATTGATTAAACCCTAAACCCTAAACCCTAAACCCTAAAAACACTCTTACTCCTTCATCCTTTGGCAATCTGGGTAGTCACCCCACCATTCTGTTGTTGCTTAAAGGGTTTCTAGGGGTTTTTTGGGGGTTTAGGCAGCTCCCTGTGCCTGCACCTCAGAAGTTTTCTGGCTTGGCTCGGATCTTCGGTCGTCCTTGCCAGCTTCGGGGGGCTCAAACCCTAAGCCCTAAACCCTAAGCCCTAAACCCTAAACCCTAAACCCTAAACCCTAAACCCTAAACCCTAAACCCTAGGGGTGGGGGGAGACCTCCCGATGGGAACCCCGCACGCCTTCGGCCGAGTTTGAGGCAAGTTGTTCCGACAGGGTCCAGCAAAGAGCCGTTTAGTTTAGAGTTGAAGGATTGGGGTTTAGGGGTCTAAGGGTCTACGGGTAGTTGCATGGTCCCTCAATATGGCCCCCTACCTTCTTTCATGATTTCTGAATCATCGGCCTTTGGGGGTTTGAAGGGTATATGAGGGCCCAGGAAACTAACCCTAAACCCTAAACCCTAAACCCCAAACCCTAAACCCTAACCCCCCCCCACGACACCCGAAGATTTCAGGCTTGATCCTCAACGGCGGCGCCAAGTTCTTCCACTTGATGCTCACCTTCTGCATCGGCTCCTTCGTGGCCGGCTTCACCAAGTGCGACCAGGAGGCCGGGAGAAAGCTCCGCACAGAACTGCTTAAAAGCAGAGAAGCATGCGGTCTCCTGAAACCCTAAACCCCTAAACCCCTAAACCCCTAAACTCTAAACCCCTAAACCCCTAAAGTCAAGCGGTCTCCTGAAACCCTAAACTTGTGAACCCGTAAACCCTACATGCGTAGGTAAATCTCCAGGCATCATTCGCGCGAATTGTGACTTGTGGACCCCTCCCCCCCTGTCTTCCAGGGTTTAGGGTTTAGGGTTTAGGGTTTAGGGTTTAGGGTTTAGGGTTTAACCCCTAAACCCCTAACCCCTAAACCCCTAAACTCTAAACCCGTACCTCTCCCCCACTGCCCTCCCCAGGCCGTCTACCAGGGACGCTACTCGCCCAACCTGCTGGCCGCCGCCTTTGCCACCGTCTTCGGCTGCATGATCCACTACTGCAAGGCCGAGGATGGCATCTCCAACGACGCCACCTCTGAGTGCCTCCTGCTGTGGCTTAGGGATACTTGGAAATAGCTTTTTGTTTCTAAATGTTTTTGTTTGTGTTTTTATGTTTTAGTAGTTTGGGTACTGTAGTTCCTAAGAAACAGCTAAACTACAATGTGTTGCTAGGGTTCCAAGTTCAGTACAGGTGGGCCTTTGCGCAGGGCATCCAGAACGGCATCACGCGAAGGTGCAGCTCCCTGCCCATCTGCACCACGCACTTCACCGGCTACCTCACCGACGTCGGCGTCGGCCTGGGCTTGTGGACCCGCGCGCAGGCGGACGGCGCGGAGCCCCCCACCTTGCTGAAGGTCCTCCTCTTCGCAGCCGGCATCTTCTTCTTCGGCCTCGGTGGCGTGGCCGCGATGGAGACCCACCCGAAGTGGGGTGCACAGGCAGCCCTGGTCCCGGCGGCCATCATGGCGGCCGTGGCTGGTGGCCTCATCCCCGTCATCAAGCCGATCGCGAAGACCGCCTAAGAGCACCTAGGACAGGCAGATTTTTCCCACTATAGGCCAAGCCCCTTTGCGGGGCAACTTCAGTGCCATGTCATTTTGAATTTTGGCATCCGCCGTTGGCAAAGCAACGCCAAGTGGCAGCTTCGGCTGTCCCTAGGTGTGATTTGTTTAAACGGTGGCTTCGCAATTAGACTTGCAAATTTGAAGCAAGATATTCAGCCCTAAACCCTAAACCCTAAACCCTCCTAAACCCTAAACCCTAAACCCTAAGCCCTAAACCCAAGTTAAACCTATAAACCCGAATGCTTCCTGGATCGGCAACTGCCTGACCCGAGACCCTCAACTGGCCAGCGAGGCTTGAAAAGGTGGGGACTGTCTCATTCTGGCTCTGTGGTTCTTTACTGTATCTTTAGATCCTTAGCCTTGTTTTGGCTTATTGAGGTTCTTAATAAGGCAGCTAAAAATTACATACGTATCTCTCTGTATATATAATTTTGTAGATGTACAGACATATAATGATATACAGCAAGAGTAGCGAACATGCCCTCTTATGGAAACTGAGCTAGGTTCCTCATCGGCAACCTAGTACACTGGCCACAGTTATCAGCGTGTGTCTTTGGCTGATGACTGCGATGACCCGAAACAGGGTTTAGGGTTTGGGGTTTAGGGTTTAGGGTTTGGGGTTTAGGGTTTAGGGTTTAGGGCTAGGGTTTAGGGTTTAGGGTTTAGGGCTAGGGTTTAGGGTTTGGGGTAACGCTCATGAGGGCCCCTGAGCCCATAAGCTGAGCCTCGAAGCCCTTCAGCCCAACGCCCAGGACAGATTCCTCAGTGGAGGAGGTGTCCCAACCTGAGAAGAGCCCTGTCGCTTCAGTCGGGGGTTTAGGGTTTGAGGTTTAGGGTTTAGGGTTTAGGGTGTGGGTCATCAAGATCATGATCATGATCATCATCATCATCATCATCATCATCCTGATAGTCAGCCTCGTCACGATGCCGGAATCGTCGCAGTAGCAAGAGCTTACAAGAAGCTCTGTACTACAGGGGTCGAAGAATTACTGATATTATTCCTTTTGGACCCTTTATAATTATACTATAACAACCCCCAATCTATTTTAAGAGCTTGCAAGAAGCCCTGTATATACTTTTGCCGGAGAAGGCAAACAGCGCTTGTGCTATTCATCGCGGTGGGGAGTGTCGCGGCCTTCCTGCAACAGACGCCCTAAACCCTAGACCCTAGACCCTAAACCCTAAACCCTAAACCCTAAACCTTAAACCCTAAACCCTAAACCCTAAACCCTAAACCCTAAACCCTAAACCCTAAACCCTAAACCCTAAGCCGTTTCCCAGAGATGGATTGGTAATCCTGACCAAAGACTGCCCACATGGGGTGCCGCCGGTCGGGGTTTCGGTTCTTGGTGAGGGCATTTAGGGATTAGGGTTTAGGGTTTATAAGGTTTTCAAGGTTTATCAGGTTTATAAGGTTTAGGGGTCAGGGTTTTTGTAGGGTTTAGGGTTTAGGGAGTTTACGGAGTTTAGGGTTGAAGAAGGGCTTATGGTTCAGGGTTTCTGTAGGGATTGGGTTTCGGGTCTTTTGGGGTTTAGGGCATTTAGGGGTTAGGGTTTATGTGGTGTAGGGAATTGAGGGAATTTCGCGATTTTAGGGCTTCGAGTGGATGATGATGTGCGTCCTGCAATTCCCGAAGCTCTTATTCCTCAAGACTCGGCCCCCTGAAGCCCTACACTCTTCTAGATCACTGCCCCTAAGCGCGAAACCCGAAACCCTCAGCCCTAAACCCTAAACCCCAAACCCCAAACCCTAAACCCTAAACCCTAAACCCTAAACCCTAAACCCTAAACCCTAAACCCTAAACCCTAAACCCTAAACCCTAAACCCTAAACCCAAGAAGTAACGAATTCAAATGCAGCGCGCAGAAGCTTGCAAGAGATGTGGGGGCATCTGGCTGCGACCTTGCCTGGCCAGCAAAAGATGCGGGGGCTCTCCGTAGGTTCCTTGTAGGGTGTAGGGCCAGGGGTTTCGGGTTCAGGGGAATTGGGGTTTAGGGTTTAGGGTTTAGGGTTTAGGGTTTAGGGTCTAAGGTTGCTACCAGGGGACTGACAATTGGTCCTTTTGAGTGCAGAGTTCCGTGACATCAAACCAGGTGCAACCTGACCCTTCAAAACCTATAATGTTACAACCCTTACCTGAAAGCCCTACGCCCCCTACAGCCCCCAAACCCCCCAGTAGAGCCCTTAAACCCTAAACCCTAAACCCTAAACCCTAAACCCTAAACCCTAAACCTTGTTTGAACCCAGAAGGGCCCCCTGAGAGGCCACACCACAAGAAGACGGCGCCAGTCCGGATAACGCGGCTGCCGACGTCGGCCCCCTAGCGCGGCGAGGGTTGAGGGGTTGAGGGTTTCAATTGGGGTCTAGGGGTTAGGGTTCAGGGTTTAGGTTTTCAAGTGGGGTTTGATTCCATTGGGTTTCACTCGGGGTTTCAGGAGGCAGAGGAGGTGGAGGGTGTTGAAGGGGTTGCGGGGGTTGAGAGGTTAAGGGGATAAGGGTTCAATTGGGGTTTGAGAAGTTTGAGGGGATAAGGGGTTTGAGGGGCTTACGAGGGGCTTCAGGGGTTTTAGGGGGTTTGTGGGGTTTGAGGGGTTTGGTTTAGGGTTTTTGAGGGGGTTTGAGGGGTTTAGGGTTTTTGTGGGGCTTGAGGGTTTAAGGCTGTTTAAGGGTTCAGGGGTTCTAGGGTTGAAGGGAGGCCAGCTTTAGTAAGTACATTGAGATAGTCTCCTCCTAGTCCCCTCCCCCTAATATTAAACCCCCCCCTACCCCCCCCCCCCCCCCCCCAATATTATCTACTCCCCCCCCCCATATACCACAGTAAATCTTTAGTGGGGGGCATTTATTATTAGGGGGTAGGGCGGGTTTAATATTAAGGGGAGGGGATTCTCCTTGCTGAGATGGTGAAGCTTTCGATGCCTTTACGTTGCAGATACACGATCCGAAACCCCAACCGCCAAGACTCGAGACTCTAAACCCTAAGCCCTGAACCCTAAACCCTAAACCCTAAACCCCAAACCCGAAACCCCAAACCCGAAACCCCAAACCCCAAACCCGACCCGAAACCCTAACCCTAAACCCTAAACCCCAAACCCCAAACCCTAAACCCTAGACCCTAAACCCTAAACCCTAAACCCTAAACCCTAAACCCTAAACCCTAAACCCTGTCAGCTCCCAGCTGTTGCACAGGATCTGGACCAAACGCTTCTTCCGCCCGAGGATGCTTCGGACAGGCCAGGGCCATCCTAAGCTAAACAGCGGGCTCTTTTTCGATTTGGTGTTTTCTGGAATTGGGGGGGTGCCTTATTGGGGTCCCTATTACAAGGGAATCCTACTATTTTGGGTCTTTTTAAGGGTTTACGGTTTAAGGTTGAGGGGCCACGTGATGCTTCAGGCTTTATTGCTGAAAGGGTTAGGGTATGGGTCTTATCATAGATTCCCTTGTGCTGCCGGGTGCCAAAAGGGTCCCATGGCTTAGCTTGACTTCGGTCTACTTGGGTCTGCTAGGGGGCCTTTGTACGAGCTTGGTCTTATGTGGGGCTGAAGACTTCAGAGTGTAAGCATCTTATGGCTTCAAGTTGCTAGAGGGTTGATGGAGTTTACAGGCTCAGGTGATGCTGTGAGTGTGCGAGTCAGGGTCACGGGGATCCGGGTTCAGGAGTGCCCTTTTACGAAGCCCCCAAACCACAACCCCAAACCCCAAACCCTAAACCCTAAACCCTAAACCCTCAACCCTGAACCCGAAACCCCCAAACCCCCAAACCCCCAAACCCCAAACCCCAAACCCCAAACCCCAAACCCCAAACCCCAAACCCCAAACCCCAAACCCTAAACCCTAAACCCTAAACCCTAAACCCTAAACCCTAAACCCAAAACCCTCACCCCTAAACCCTAAACCCTAAACCCTAAACCCTAAACCCTAAACCCTAAACCCTAAACCCTAAACCCTAAACCCTAAACCCTAAACCCTAAACCCTAAACCCTAAACCCTAAACCCTAAACCCTAAACCCTAAACCCTAACCCTAAACCCTAAACCCGAAACCCCCAAACCCTAAACCCTGAAGGTACGACAGCCCTGTGAAGAGCATGGAAGACGCCGAGCGAACCCTTCGCCCTGCGGTGGCCGAGCAAGAGCCGAGGGTGGTAGAGGCAGGGCTTCGGGTTTAGGGTTTAGGGTTTGGGGTTTGGGGTTTAGGGTTTAGGGTTTGGGGTTTGGGGTTTAGGGTTTGGGGGGGGTGGCAACAGCTTTTTGGTTGGGTTAAGGGGAGCCCATGCAAAGACAAACCCGTTCAGGGTGTGAATAGATTTTTCGGGTTCCTCGCCGAAGAGCTCCGGAGAACTGATTTGTTTTAGGGGGTGTGGGGTTTAGGGGTTCAAGTCCCTTGTAGAGTGCCCATCATGATAACGACTCTTATCTTTTCGGGGGGTGCAGGGGGGTCAGGATTTTGGTGTCGCGGAGGTAGTCTATGCTCTGAGCGCATGCTATCTCTACAGGACGGAGTTTCAGGGTTGTGCTCAGTGCGGTCTTGGGCTTAGGGCTTGGGATTTAGGCCTTAGGAAAGTTTAGGGGTCCGGGTTCCGAAATTTCCTGAGTTTTAGGTTTTCGGGTTTAGGGCTCAGAGCGGACGCCGGATCGTGGGCTTAACGCCCCAGAAACGCCACACGTTGCAAGCCCTAAACCCTATGAAGTCTAGACCCTGCTACCCTGCAAACCCCATCAAGCCTCAACCACCACAAGCCCCAAAACCCTAGACTCTACGCCCCAAATAACCCCTAAAGCCCCCACAGAATTCCTCAACCCGAAATTCCGAGCCTCAAAAAGTCCACCCTAAACCCGAAACCCTAAACCCTAAACCCTAAGCCCTAACAGAAAACCTCGCTGTGGGAAGGCTCCCCCGACTCTGGTGGATGAGCGCCCCATCCGGCCTGCAGCTCAAGCGGCCCTCTCTGCCATCCTGGA